GGGCCCCGACCTTGCTCCTCCTTTGACCGTCCTGACTTCTTCCCCCAGCTCCCCTCCCTCCTCTGTGGTTGGGTCGAGCCTCCAGCCCCCAGTGGTGACCACTTCGTCCCCTGGTGCGGCTAAGTCTCTCGTTGTGACTACTGCGCCTTTTAACCCCTCTCTGGGGGTTCTCAACGCCGTTCGCGCCCCGGCCGCACTCGCTCGGTTCCTTCCTGTGCTGCCGCGTATCAGGCCTTGTTTGGTCCCGCTTTATGGGCCAAATACTTTGATCTCCACCCTCTTGATTCTGCGCCTCCTGACGATTTCTCCCTCCATCGGCATCTTGTTGATTCCGTGGATGCGTCTGTTACCTTCAACCCCACTCGTCTCGGTACACGTGTCGTTGCTGCTCCTTCTCTGGATGCAGCTTCCCGCTTGGCAGCCTTATCTTGCCTTGGCGAGATCCCTGTTCGGGTCTCCAAGAACGTTCAGATGAATGCCAGTGTTAGCACTATTCTCCTCCCACCCCATGTTACAACCGGTGTTCGGAATCTGCAGGATTGCCATGATATTCGGCATATCCTTGATGCCCAAGGTCATTCTGTCCTCCAGGTTGATTCGTTTACTCCTCCCCCTCGTGGTCGTCGCCGTCAATCCCTTCGGGTTGTGAAGGTCACCTTTGATGGTCGGACCCTTCCATCCTCTGTCATTCTTGCTGGTGCCAGGTGCTCTGTCCAGGAGTATATTCCTTCTCCTCGGCTTTGTAACGAGTGCTGGAGGTTTGGGCATGGTGCCCTCCGCTGCTCTGGGACTGTCTCTCTCTGTCCTTTGTGTGGGGATGACGGTCACTCTACGTCGGAGTGCACTTCTCCCCAAGCTCGCTGCCTCAACTGCGGTGAGGCCCATCCTACCTTCTCCCATGCCTGTGTCCATTACAAGCTTGAGGCGGCCGTCCCCAACTTGAAGCACCGGGAGCGGTTTATCTTTTCCCGGGGCGAGGCGCCAGGTTCGCTGGCTCCCGCCTTATACTAACATCTCTTATGCTCGCGTGTTGCGCTCTTCCTCTCCTCGTCCTTCCCACCTTCCTCAGACTCACAACCGTTTCCGGGCCTTGGACCCTGATACGCCCACTGCCCCCTCCTCTGTTCCTTTGAGTTCTGTCCCAAAGGGTCCCCCTCCTGGTCCTCTGTCTGGGGTTCCTCTTCTTTCTACCCGGTCTGTCATGTCTCCTGTGTCTTCTTCCTCGTCTCCCTCCGATCCTCCTTCCCATCCTCTTCCTCCATCTATTGGCTCTCCCCGCCGCCTGTCGGTGCAGGCGGATGTCCATCGCTCTCCTAACGGCCGTCGTGTGTGCTCTCGTTCAGCTTCTCCTGTTGAGACACTGGAATCTGTTGCCCGGTACGTAGTTGCTGGGACACCGGTCTCTTTAAGTCAGAAGCGTAAGCCTGGCTCCTCTCCTTCCTCCTCCCCGGCGGGTAAGAAGGCTTCGCTTTCTTCCTTGGCCCCTACTTCTGGCTCTGTTGCTCCTTCCCCTCCCATTTCTGTGCTTGCGCCCCCTGTTCCTGCTATGGAGGTTTCTTTGGCCCCTGCTTCCCTTTCGGTTGCTGCTCTTGCTGAGGTGCGCTCCCCTCTTTCTACTCCCCCTCTTCCTGCTGCTGTCCTTGACTGCTCCCCTCCGTTGTCTCCTCCTCCTCCTCCGGACCCTGCCCGCCCACCTGGTCTGTTCTTCGACGCTGCCCTCCTCTTTCCCAAGGTGGCAGTTTGCTAAGGCGGACTGGACCCTATTTACCCTCAGTGCTGCTCTCTCTGACCTCTCCCTTCTGCCTTTCTCTCGCGCTCTCCTCCTTTTTCATGACACTGTCTTCAACGCTGCCCTCCTATTTCTCGCTCTTCCTCTCGGGGTCCACAGACGTGCGTTCCCTGGTGGAATGCGGACTGTGCTCGGTCTGTCCGCTGTAAGCGTGCAGCCTGGAAGAGGCACCGCCGTCGGCAGACGACCGATTCTTTTCTTTTCTTTCGGAAAGCGAGTGCGGTGGCCCGTAGGGCCATCCGTATGGCTAAACGTAAATGTTGGACTTCTTATGTCTCCACAGTTACGTCCGAAACTCCCCTGCCACAGATCTGGAAGCGTATCCGCAAGATTGCAGGTAAGTTTGTTCCCGATGTTTCACCGGTCCTTCACCTCCGTGGTACTCTTGTGGCAGTACTCTTGTGGACCGTTGCAGGTTGCTACCGAACTGCACTTTTCTTCTGTTAGCTCTGGTCTTCATCTTCCCCAATCTTTCCTTCTTCGTAAACCTGTCCTTGAGTCTCGTCCTTTAGATTTCTGCACTCGTCTTCGACTTTCCTATAACGATCCCTTCTCTCTCTCTCTCTCTCTCTCTCTCTGAACTTCGTTCTGCCCTGGCCCTCTGCGGTTCTAAGCCGGCGGGCTCCGATGGTATTCATTGAGATGCTTCGCCATCTCCCTCCGTGCACGTCTCGGTATTTACCGAGTATATATAATCGGATCTGGGAGTCGTCGTCAGTCCCTGATGACTGGCTCGATGCCGTTATCCTCCCTGTTCATAAACCAGGGTCTCTGGGTACTTCCCCTAAGGGCTTTCGCCCTATTGCCCTCACATGTTGTCTGCAAACTCTTTGAACGTATGGTTAACGTTCGTCTGATGTGGTTCCTGGAACACCATCACCTCCTCTCCCCTTCTCAACTTGGTTTTCGCAAGTGTCGCAGCAAGACAGATGTCCTGGTGAACTTGGAGGTCTATATTCGTACTGCTTTTGCTGCGAGGACCTCTGTTGTTGCCGTCCTTTTTGACCTGGAAAAGGCTTGTGACACCACTTGGCGATATCATAATCTGTCCCAGCTTCATTCTTTTGGCCTTCATGGTCATCTCCCTCGCTTTCTCCACAGCTTCCTCTCTCGTCGTTCCTTTCGGGTGCGCCTTGGTACCGCTCTCTCTGCCTCTTTTCAGCAATACGAAGGTGTGCCCCAGGGTAGTGTTCTGAGCACTACTCTTTTTCTGGTTGCCCTCAATGGACTTCTTTCCTCTCTTCCTTCTGGTGTCTTCTCCGCTCTCTATGTCGATGATCTTACCCTTTGCTGTCAGGGTGATGATTCGCCTCTCCTTCGGCGCCGGCTTCAACTTGCAATTGATGCCGTGTCGTCTTGGGCCACCGATCATGGCTTCAAGTTCTCTACTTCTAAGACTTGTGCCATGACTTTTACGCGGAAACGGGTCGTTCTTCGTCCCTCTTTGTCACTTTATGGTCATCCCCTTGAGTACAAAGATTCTGCGAAGCTTTTGGGGTTATTCCTTGACACTCGTTTGTCTTGGTCTCCCCATATCTCTTACCTCCGTGTTGAGTGCTCTAAGGCCCTTACCCTCCTTCGGGTCTTGTCCCATACTTCTTGGGGGGCAGATAGGCGCACTCTCCTTGCTTTACATTCCTCTCTCGTCCTGTCTAAGCTCGATTATGGTTGCCCTGCTTACTCGTCTGCTTCTCCTTCTACTCTTTGCCGTCTTGATGCTTTGCACCATACTGGGTTGCGCCTCAGTTCTGGTGCCTTTCGTTCGACTCCCGTCCTTAGCTTGTATGTTGACACTGGCTTCCTGTCTCTCCAGGACCGCCGTGATCGCTACTGTCTTCGCTATCTTGCGCGGTCCTTACAACATCCTTCCTCTCGCCTCTGTCGTGCTTTAACTTTTACCCCTCCTGCGGTTCCTGTTCCTCTTCACCACCTCCCTCTTTCTGTCCGGTTATCTCGCCTACAGGATTCTCTTTCCGTTCATATTTTTAATGTTTCTCCTCGTGTTGTTCCTTCTTTGCCCCAGTGGAGAGTCCCCCTTCCACAGTTTTGTACTTCCTTGACCCGTATCACTAAAGCTTTTACCCCTCATACGGTTCTAAAACGCCTTTTCCTTGAGCACTTTTCTTCTCACTCCCGCTCCGTTTCTATCTTCACTGATGAGTCTTAAGTCTGCAGACGGTGTTGGCTACTCTGTTGTTTTTCCTGATCGCACTTATATGTGTCGCTTACCTCCGGAGACTAGCATCTTTACAGCGGAGCTTTATGCTATTCTCTATGCTCTTCGTCTCCTGCTTTCTCGTTGTCAGTCTTCCTTTGTAGTTGTTGTTGACTCTCGTAGTGCCCTCATGGCTCTCGGGTCCTTTAATCCGGTTCATCCAGTAGTTGTCGAGATCCAGCATTGGCTGTTTCTTGTTCACAGTAAATTTAAGTCGGTTGAGTTTTGTTGGGTTCCCAGCCATATTGGTGTGTCTTTAAATGAGCGTGCGGATGCTGCCGCCAAGGAAGCTGTCCGCTCTTGTCCCATCTCTCGTAAAGGTATTCCATATTCCGACTTTTACCCGGTTATCCATTCCTCCGTCCTTACCCGTTGGCAGGCTTCTTGGTCGTCTGTTACTGGTAACAAACTACGTACTCTTAAATGTTGTGTTTCCTCGTGGCTGTCCTCCTACCACCGTAACCGGCGATGGGAAACAGCTCTGGCGAGGTTGCGTATTGGCCATACTCGCTTAACCCATGGTCACTTGATGGAGCACCGCCCTGCTCCTTATTGTCCTAGTTGCATTGTCCCTCTTACGGTCGTGCATGTCCTTCTTGAATGTCCTGACTTCCAGGACGAGCGTGTCTTGCTTTCCGACCGCCCCTCGCGGTCACCTGTCCCTCAATAGAATTCTTGGTGACTCGGATACTTTTGATATCGTTCGCCTTATGCGTTTTTGTTCTCGTATTGGCATCCTTGGTGATATTTAGAGCCCTCTGATTCTAATGCACATTTGAGGGTACTACATAGCCTTCCCGTTATGGTGCCTTCTTTTTGATAATTACTTACTTACTTGAAGTTGCCTTTGATAATGGGATAATTACTAAAACTGTTATGTAATTGTAATTTTCTATGAAGCCTAATAATATTTTATCAATACTTTTATATTCATGAAGTTACATTTTTCATTATAATTTGTCATGATACTCCACTCTGCAATTTTTTTTTTTCCAGTGCTCTTCATATGGTGGCAAGACGATTTTACCAAGCTACCTAGTGCTGAACCAGGTGATGTGCTTAGACAAGTTCAGTTGAATATACAGACAACGTATTTTCAATGAATCACTTTCTACAATTTGTTATTTACTGAAAATCTGGGTAATGTGCCTGGCAGTGTCTTGCTGGAGGTGGGATGTTCCATTGTGTTGTTCTTGTTGGGAAACATTTTCATCCCGGATTATTAAATATCTGCAAGCAGGGAGTAAGCTTTGGGTCTTAGTCTGTTTTTACTCTAGATTTTATTTTATTTTAGACAAATTGAAATGCTGATTTTAATATCGATCAATAATTATATTAAAATGGTTTTAGCTGAACAAAATTAAGTGTTTTTGCAAATATATTGAATTTTAGCTAATAATATTTTGACACCTAGTGTCAAAATATGCTGCTGCTGCTATAGGAATAGCTTGCAGAACGCTAAAATGAGCATCGGCAGCTGACTGGTTATACAATGGGGCCTAGCAAGGTCCCCATTGTATTTGTAATAGTATACCACGTTTCCCTTTTTGGAGAAGGTTGTATTGTTTATTGGGGCTGTTGTTAAGCATTAAATCAGCCGTTCTTTTTTAATGTAATATTATTATTAATATTAAAAAATAATTAACTCAAGAACAGCCCCAATAAAGTATTGAACCTGTAGATCATTTTATAGATACCTTAGAGAGTTCATGGGAAAACAATGAAATCTACGATGCCCAAATCCAAAATATCAATGACTTGAAAACATTGGCGAGCTTATAATCGTCAAACATCTTGTAAATCTGGTCCATTCAAGTCATCTCGAGACAATCACCGGCACCGTAGTCATGCTATTGAATTCGACAATTATTTAGCAGCTTATTGTCGTCGGTGCAATATGTTGTGCAGGAATTTATATAAATATTTGTATACATTCTCCCCCCCCCCTCCCTTTCCTGCCCGTTGTCGTCGTGAGGGGGGGGGGGCATGGTGGGTGGCTGCCAGGGTGTGATGCTCCATGCGACAGTCCTCTGTCCTTTTTGCAGCTTTATGCTCCTGCTGCTGCCTTCTTTACAAATTGTACTAGAAGTGTTTTTCTTTTCCTTATGTTTCCTTTTTTCTCCGACCTTCTTCTCCTTTCGAATTGTTATTTCCTACCGACTTTATGCTTTTCTTGATTATTCTTTCAGATATCTTCTGTTTTGATGCCCGGGTGTTTGGGGAGGCATACTCGCCCATAGAACTGTGGTACCCGACGTTGCGAGCGACGGAACGCTTTTATTGTCAATCCTCTCCTTCGTCAATGAACCCGATCTCGACGGACTGACGGTTCTTAATGTGGAGATTGTGGGGCGTATACTCACGACGCACCCCTAGGAAGCCCCGGCTTGTGTCTTGTCGAGTGTCCTATCTCGTAATCAAAGCTCTATGGGCCATTGGGGGTATGGGGATTTTATTCGTGAATGAAATTGTTACCAGCTCATTGCTATGCCGATGATTGACCCTCTTTTCACTTTCTAGACTTGTGGGGTGGGCTACCAAACCCCCCGAGTTAGACTGTGTTGGAAGACCAGGCTCTGTAGCCCCGCTACATTGGATCCTGACCACGTTCCTTCTCCGACTCTCCCGACTGCCTCACTCTGCTCTTCTCTCACCTCTGTGGCGAGGTTGAGCCCCAAACCCCCAGTGGTGACGACCTCATCACCTGGCGTGGCTCCGTCTCTAGTTGTCTCCACTGCGCCCTTTATCCCCTATCTTACTGGGGGTGCTCGGTGTCGTCACCTCTGCACTCTCTCTCTTGCTCACGCGCTGATTCATTCTCAATCTCCTTCTTTCCAGGATTTGTTTTGTCCTGCTACATGGACTAAGTATTTTGATCTTAGTCATGTTCACCCTACTCGTCGTCATGATATTTCTCCATAAGCACCTTGTTGATTCGGTGAAGACATTGGTCACCTTTAACCCGACAAGCACTGGTACCTTTGTTGTTGCATAGTGACGGGAAAATTAAGGACTGCCATGAGGATATTAAGTATATCCTTGAGGCCCAAGGCCATTCTATCTTCTAGATGGATTCCTTCACTCGGCTCCCTCGTAGTCGTCGCGGTCAGCCTCTTTGCGTTGTGAAGGTCATATTTGATAGTAGGTCCCCTCCGTCATTCTTGCTGGTGCCAGATGCTCCGTTCAGGAGTACATCCTCTCTCCTCGCCTTTGCAACATGTGCTGGAGATTTCGGCATGGTTCCCTCGGGTGCACAAGCGAGGTGTTTCTGTCCCCTGTGTAGAACCTCGGTTCTTTAATAGACAGAGTGCCCTTCTTTCCAAACTCTCTGCATCAATTGAGGTGATGCCTACCCTTCCTTCTCCCGTGTATGTGTGCATTACAAATTCGAAGAAGCCATCCTCAATTTGTAGCATCGTGATCATTTGTCTTTTCCTAAAGCTAGGCGCCAGGTTTGCCGACTTCCCTCTTTCTCTGGCATGTTTTATGCTCGTTTGCTGCATGCCCCGTCTTCTCGCCCTTTCCCACTTTCACAATCATTTCAAGGCCTTGGACCCCTATCTTATCTTGAGATCTTGAGATGATTTCGGGGCTTTAGTGTCCCCGCGGCCCGGTCCTCGACCAGGCCTCCACCCCCAGGAAGCAGCACGTGATAGCTGACTAACACCCAGGTACCTATTTTACTGCTAGGTAACAGGGGCATAGGGTGAAAGAAACTCTGCCCATTGTTTCTCGCCGGCACCCGGGATCGAACCCGGGACCACAGGCTCACAAGTACAGCGTGCTGTCCGCTCGGCCGACCGGACAGCACACACACCCTATACCTCCATCGCCACCTCATCTGCTCCTTTTTCGTTTTGGGCCAGAGGCCCAGAACGCAAAGGCCATTTCAGGCCATTGTCCATACTCCTCCCAGCGTTCGTCAGGTTACCCGTTCCCGTTCTCCTTCTGTTGAAACTGTCGAGACGGTAGCCTGGTATATTGCTGATGGTATGTCTGTCTCTCTTTGCCATAAGCATAAGCCTGGTTCCTCTTCCTTCCCGGTGGGTAAGAAGGCTTCGTTGTATTCCTCCCCTTCCGACTTACACTATCCCTGCTTCCCCTCCCTTTTCGATGGCAGGATCTCCTGTCCCTCTTATTGAGGATTCCTTGGTCCTTGATCCTCTCTTGGATGCTGCCCTTGCCCTCGTGTCTTCACCTTTTTTATTGTTGCCGCCAGAGGCGGCAAGTTATTGTGCACCCCATACTCATCCTTTTACCGGTAGCGCAAAAAGCATTAGAGGGCACAAAAGGTCTTTATCAGACCTCATCTTAGATTATTACATAAATAATTTCATCTATCTTTCACACCTTATACTTACAATGTCAGCTAGTTACAGAGTGTTCTATTTCAAGAGCTATATATTTACAGTAAGTCATTATACATTATTGGTAGGTCTTACTGCTAATACATAATTGTTTGAGCAATGGAGATATTACAGAGTAATTGGGGAACTGCTGTTTAATGTTTGTGCCCTCACCTGTTTTTCCTTCCTGCCCCAGTTTCCTTTGTCTGCTCCTGTCCGCTCCTCTCTATTGCCTCATCCAACTACAGACTGTCCATTCGCCTCTGGTCCGTCCTCTCACTCCCCTGTTGTGAGGGAATGAAGAGTCCCTCAGCTAGTTTTCCTAGTTTTCTAGATTAGGCTAGAGTCGCTCTAGGGACTCTAGCCTAATCTAGTGAAGTGGTATGAGAGGATACTTGACTCTCAACGGTTTTAGAGGTGGGGGGGGGGGAGGACAGTGGGGTGAACGTCGCCCCCCCCCCCCCTCACCATGTAAGACAGGCAGACTCTGTCCTAGGCCTCCCCCTCCTTGTGACATCACAGGACGCCTCAGGGTGAGGGGCGTCTGTGATTGGTAGCGGCACCTCTGCCTCTAGGTGAGTTTTGGCGCGAACAGCTGTGATTGGTAGCGGCACCATACAGTTGTACCGGCTTTGTGCTGATTGGTCAAGACAAGGTAGGGGGGAGATATGGGCATTTGAGTTTCCCTAGCCCGCCAAATAGTCAGTCTGAGCTGGGCAGCAAGCTGAGGATGAAGTGATTGGGTGGGGGTGGCAGTGGCCACCTCCACCCCTGTTAATCACTGTGTCATCCTGATTACTCGTTGTGCAGGGCACTCCTGCCATCCTGGGTTGTGTCAAGGCCCAATTTGCGTGAAAATGGGGCCAAAGAGTACGATAGGAATAGTAAAAACTTCAGAGACAGTGTTGACCCATGAGGCAGCTGGCAGGCCTCATGGTGTATCAGATTGATCCCTCACATCGGGTCCGAGTATCCTGTCTAGTGTTAATGGACAATTGGTGGAATATGGGCAGTGTAATTGTGGTGATATTACAGGCCCCTGTTGGACTTTGAATTCCACCTTGTTGGGTCCGCCATGTGGTGACGCCGCCGGCCATTGTCACCCCAGTGTACGAGCGAGTCATGCTCTGGTTTAATGGAGTTGTAGGTGATCCCCCATCCCCATTCTGTTTGCCTGTGGGTGCTAGCCAGCCGGCCTGAGGCATCCCATGTATGCGCCGGCCACCTTGGCCACCCGCCCGGGGGCCACCCTGGCCACCCCGGCCAACCCCCCCCCCCTCGAACCCAGCCAACCCCGGCCAACCCCCCCCCCCCCCCTCGCCACCCCAGCCAACCCCGGCCAACGGTTGGCCAACCCCCCCCCCCCCTCGCCACCCCAGCCAACCCCGGCCAACCCACCCCCCCCCTCGCCACCCAAGCCCGGGTGGGATACTGTGACGCCCCGCGCTTACCTCGTGGCCACCCCTTGGTGGCCACATGCCTTGGTAACCTTCCCTGGACATCCTAGGGCCACACCTAGTCGACACACAAGGAGCGAGTTAGGTGGTCTGCAGCCAGTGTGGTAGTGACTGGGGAAATGATTGTTGAGGATTTAAGGAGCCGCGAGTACAATAATAGTTGTTAGGTGTTACAGTATCTCAGAATTGTGTTAATTTCGGTAACAGCTGTGTGGTCCCATAGCGCCTGCCAGGCGTGGGAAGCAGCTGAGACACAGCTGTCTGTACTGACGTCCAGGTCACTGGTTGGGATGTACCTGGAGATGGATGTTGTACACGGTACCACACAAGTAGTTATACATATAGTTATATGTTGTGTGTAGACTGACTCGAGTATGTAACCAGTCAGTGTAGAGATTTACCATGTAAGTGATCCAGTTCTGTCGATTCTATATAATCGTTCAGTCTAGATTTTATGCCATAGTGCCGCATGTTAATTATATCATTGCAGAGGTAGGCAGGCCAGTGTTGCAGGGATGTCAGTGGATACCCTGAGGTCTGTGTAGTTAGGGATACATTTTTCTGGTGATATAATTTTCATTGATTATGTGAATGCCATTTCCATGTGTTTCATTTGCATGTTTTTGTATGTACTGTGTTGTGTGGTGAGTCAGTAGATGAGATTGCCGACTGATTGCCTAATGAGGTCATCAGCATGTGGGGTATGCTGACGGCATAATTGTTATAGGTTTGGGCAGTGTTGTTGTCGGTATACGTAAGATTACTCTCCCTAGGAGCTATGTTGAGGATTTAAGGGACCCCTTTGAGTATTCAGGGGAATTCACAGTACTTAATGAGAGCAAGCAATTAGTTAATTTGCCTAATTAAGAAGAATTAGCGCCAG